CAAAAGCGCCTGCCTGGCAAGCGCAAGGTCGTGAGTTCGGTTCCCGGTACCGGAGAAAAACCAAAAAAAAAAGAAACTTAGGACCTCGCACTTGCCAGTAGATGCTGTGTCACAGCTATATCCCTGGCCCTGGAATATCTTAAGCACACAGAAAATGACTTTTGGGCAGCAGGGTCTTACTTAGACGCTCACACGGGATTTGAACTTGCCAGTCTCTTAAGTGTCGGGATTACAGGTATGTGCAACTGTGCCCAGCTGAAAGTGATATTTTTAGGAACATGCGAAATTTCTCAGGGTGTGTGTAAGGGGCACTATAGGTTAGGCAGGGTTTAATACCCTAAAACAGAACCTAAGATCCAGTGTATTAAATAAAATAGAACTTTATTTCTTCTACCCAGGTGTGGTGGCACACAGCTGCAATTGTAGCACTCCAGAGGCTGAAGCAAGAAGCTTGTGGCAAGTTCAGGGACAGCTTGGGCTCCATACTGAGTTCAAGGCCAGTCTAGACTACAGTAAGTCCCCGACTTATGAACATTCATGTTGTGAACTTTCAGATATGAACAGACCTCAAATTAGTAGAACAAATTGAGGTGCTCACGTGTCTGCCCGACACTGTCACAGCTGTGCTCGACAGTGCGAGGGACAGTGTACAGCAGTACGGTGATCAGTCGGAGCCCAGGGTGTCCGGGAGCAAGAGGAAAAGCAGTGCTGCCGGGGAGGGACTGCTAGGAGGCGCAAAGCAACATACATTGGACATTTGTGTCAAACGCGTATGAGACTCACTTTGTGGGACTTATGAATGAATCCAACTTATATTTCCCCAGAACATAACTCCTTTATAAGCCAGGGGCTTATCATACACAGTGAGACCTAGTCTCAAAATAATTTTTTTTTCTTTCTTCCACAGCAAGTTAAGCATAACCCATTTAGGCTGGTAGTGAGGCTTCCTAGCATCAGGTACTCAGACTGCTTTAGCAATGGCAATCACCCTGGCCTCTGTGGTCCAGGACGCTTCCACCATATCCGTGCTCCGGCCAGGGGAAGAGGAGGAAGAAATGGAAATTCCTTCTGTTGCTCCCTCAGACCAAGTTGCATTGCATGCGCTGCTGAGGCGTCACTCCTCAGCACCCCTCGGAGCTCCTGTATGTCACTCCTTCAAAACAAGTGAACCAGGAAATGCAACCTTGGCCTTACTGTCTCGTTTATTCTCCCCTAAAGACGGAGTTTTCCTTTGGGCCCTTTCCAGGGGAGAGCAGATGTATCAAAAAAGGTGCGGGGAGGCATTACAAAAGTAAATAGCACTGAACAAGGCAAACAAAAAATCCTCATCTTCAAAGAGCTTCCCATTCTAGTGAGGAAGACAAAGAAACTGCATTAATAAGTGTTGTAGTCAGGGTTTGGAAGGGAAAGGAATATAAGACACATAATTTATAGAATTATTTTAGGATATTCAACCGAAGAGTCAAATGGAAAAGAGTGCAGGAGCTCTACTCACACACTAGAGACCCACAGAATGCAGCTGAGGGCCTCGATCCCACCGCAGTGTCCTTCACGAGTCCAGCTTGAGGTCTAGAGCCCACAACATCTCATGCAAGTCTGTATCATGCAAGTCTGTATCAGGGATCTCTGCACTGGGAAGGCTCAAAGGTTAGTGGTGGAAGCTAGAAAGTCTGTGGCGGTGGGATGAAGGATCTGTGCCAGCAGGCTGAGGGATCTGCACTGGAGCCAGGAAGTGGTGCTCAAGGCAAGAACCAAAGCTCCCATGAAAAGAACTGCAACCATCCCCAGTGACAGCGAGGACCCGAGCTCCTCCAGTGATGAGAACAGCTGAGTTCATATCAGGAAAGCCAGCATGACAAGCTCCTCCAGTAGAATCAACAGCACCACCTCTTCCCCTCCAATTCTCTTTTTATGCTGCTGGCAACAATCCTCAGGTGGGCCTTCCACACCCAGCACCGCACTGATGCAGTTCAGCTGGGTGTTTCAAATTGGCCACCAGTTGTCAACCCACCAAGATAAATAAACTACATAAACCAGGCATGTACCACTGTGCCTGTAACCATAACACTCTCAGAGGCTGAGGCAGGAGAACTGGAAGTTCAAGCCCAGCTTGGGTAATTTGTGGTTTAGTGAGACCCTGTCTCAGAATAAAAAAGGGTTGGGGGATATAGCTCTATTTCTGTTTGAAGACCCTGAGTTCAATCCCCAGTACCGCAAAGCAACAAGTAAACCATACATAACTAGCATGTGATGAATTAAAAGAGCAGTGTGTGGGGTGAGGATTAAGTCAGAGATCTCACTGGGCGTGATGGTGCACCCCTGTAATCCCAGCACTCGGGAGGCTGAGGCAGGAGGATCGTTGCAAGTTCGAGACCAGTGTGGGCTACAAAGTGAGCTCAAGGCCAGCCTGAACTGCATAGTGAGACCCTGTCTCAAAAAGACAAAAAAAAAAAAAAAAAGTCAGAGATCTGAATGGTCCTTCCTGAGATCACCGGATATATAGATCTGAGCAGCACTAAGGTCGGTCGAGAGGTCTTGGTACTGGAGAAGCATCCCCTGTGAGTCAGGGATGGCTTTAAGGTTGCTACATGCTACTCAGCCTCCTTGCCACGTCCAGGTTCAGCTGGGAACATCCAGATCAAGCTGCTTGTGAGTCTTCACCCTTTCTCGAAGGGATGGAAGTGAGGGCAGAGTGGTGACAGGACTGACAGCAGACACTTGGTGGCTAGGGTGAGAAATCTTTTTTGTTTGTTTGTTTTGAGACAGGGTCTCACTATGTAATCCAGGCTGCCCTTGAACTAACTTAACTGCAATCCTGCTGCTTCTGTCTCCTGCGAGCTACTACTACAGTCATGCACCCCCACACCCAGCATACAAGCGGATGTTTTTTTGAGACAAGAGTCTCCCTATGTAGTTAGTACACGCTGGTCTCAAACTCACAGCAATCCTCCTGCCTCGGCCTCCTGAGCGCTGGGATTACAGGTATGTGCCATCACAACAGGCTACAAGCAGTTTTGAGAGGATGTAACTGGCAGCCTCACTGAATCTTGGGTAGGTGTGGAAGCAGGGAGGCCTCCTTAGAAGAGAAGACTTCTGAGCTGACACCCAAGGCCTGAGTAAATATACAACCAGGTCAAAACAAAAAATACAAGGGAAGGTGTTCCAGACAGAGGGCACAGCTTATGCAAAGGCCTGGCAGCAAGTGAGCCTGGGGATAGGACAGAGAATTGAAGCTACTTAGTCTGGCACGGAGGGTGTGGTAAGAAGGGAATCCAGATGAGTCACCACCCAAGAGATGTATCATCAGCCAAGCCCAGGTTCAGACCTGGTCCTGCCACCTTCTGTGACCCTCGTGTTCAAAGCCTCCAATTTCTCTCCTGCTAGATCTTGCCTTACGCAAAAAGATTTGAGTCGCAGTTTCTTGGCCTGACCCCAGCAAGCCCTGAGGAAGGATTAGCTACAACTGCAGTTTTATCTGTCGTGACCTTGTTATCTGAGCTATTACCATATTAATTATCGAAGAGCCATTGCTTGAGGGTGGTGGTGAAGGGCTGGGGAGCCTGGCTGCCTGAGTTTAACAGCAGAGTTAGTTTACTTTTCTATAAAATGGGGATAATAAATGGCACCTATCCCACTGGGCTGTCATGAGAATAAATTAGCTGATATACTGAAAGCGTTCAGGAGACAGCTTGATAGTTGTGTTTGTCATTATTATTTAACGATGGAGCCCCGAAAATGGACTGGGCACTCACAGGTTGGAGGGCAAATAAAAGGATCTAAAAGTAGTTTCAGCTCTGGCTTCCGTTTCAATCTCCTTCCTCCCTCTTCAGGCACCTCAGGAACGTCTGGCCTCCCTGTAATCCCAGCACTCTGGGAGGCTCAAGCAAGATGATCACAAGGCTGAGCCCAGCCTGGGCAATTTAGGGAGACTGTCATTCATTACGAACAAAGTAATTTTAAAAAGGGACAGGGGATGTGGATGTGGGTCCGTGAGAAGCCCTGGGCTCAAACCCTGTTGAAGCCGGGTGTGGTGACGCAGGACTACAATACCAATACTGGGGAGGCTGAGGCAGGAGGATCAATCACCATGAGTTTGAGGCTACCCTTGGGCTACACAAAGAGTGCAAGGCTATAGTGAATTCATGGTGAAACTTTGTCTCAAAAAAAAAAAAAAAAAAAACACCTGTACCGAAGGAAAAAACAAAACCATATTAAAAACAGGCTGGAGTCCAAGTACTCTTCCTGTATTGGGAGCTCGGTAGAGACTGGGCGACACTTTAGGACCACTCAAGGAAGAAAAAAATCTGTCGAGCTGACTCGGGGGGACGTGCAGGGCAAGGCGTGCGGTGGGAGGTGGCACAGGGTGACCTTCGCAGGCCGCCAACTGCGACACCCGGTTTGACGGCCACGAGCTGCCGCAGGGCCAGGGAAATCCGGCCTAGCCTCAGTCCCTGCCGCAGACGCGGGCGTCTGTGCCTCAGATGTGAGGCACCTCGCGCCCTCCAGGCGCTGTTTGTTTGGACAAGACCCAGAGGGCGGCTTGTTGAGCCCTTTTGGGGCGGATCAAAAATTGCCATTTTGGAGGACTGGGGATTTAGCTCAGCGGCACAGTGCCTGCCTGGCAAGCGCAAGGTCGTGAGTCCGATTCCCGGTACTGGAAAAAAAAAAAAAACCAAAAAACAAAACAACACCAAAAAAATTGCCAGTCGGGGCCGGTGGAAGGGAGAGAGATCTCACTCCACGGCTCGGAGCTCCCTCACTTTGAGAGCTTCCGGGAAGACCCAGGGTAGCTGCTAAGCCTGGGCGGGGCTCGAACCTCCTCGGGCGCCGGAAACGTTCAGGGCGGAGCCGCTGCGTCAGGACCCGTTACGTAGGGCGAGGCCGCCGCGCGCACGCGCAGTTCGTATCCTACGCCGGTTCTAGGACCGCGCGGAGGACAAGCGGGCCGCTTGCGGGGTCTGACCCGGGAGCTGCAGCCTGAGTCACGGCCCCGCCCTCTGGAGCCGGACGCTGCGGGAGGCCCGGGAGCTACAGACCGCCGGACAGCAGGACAGCCGAGCAGCCGGCCGCGGGACGCACAAGGGAGGCGGTGAGCGCCCGGCCCAGACTTGCCTTACACCCGCAGCCCCGGGATCTGCCGATCTCCCCCAGACCCAGCGGACCCTACAGTCCTGGCTTCTGGGATCCTCCGAGATCCAAACCCCCAGGCCTGTATGACTCTGGTCCCATCTCGGGGACTCCTCCCTATCTCCAGTCTCATGATCTAAAGTACAAGCTCTCATAGGTTTGAAACGCACCCTGTAAATTCTTTCTTGCATTTAGAACCACGATCCCTAGGTCCGCGCCCCTACTTCTGGTGGGACCCTCATTAACCTGGGCTTTCAGAGACTGAAAGTCTGAGATCACAGACCAGCGGTGACTTCGCGATCCCGCTGCTGAGCGTGCCTAAATGCTCAAACCCACACTCAGAACTTCCTAAGCCCCGCCCCGGGGCCTCCAGGCCGAGGTCTCTCGTCCGCGCCCTCAACCTGCCAAAGACCCCTTCGTTCCGCTGGGGCTCTGGATCTCAGATTCGAGCGCCTGGACACTGAGTACTCCTGATAGCAAATTGGGACCCGTCTGGAGAACCCTACCATATCTATATCTCCGCCTGTCCCCCTCCTTTCCTCCTTGGTACTGGGATTGCACCCAGGGCTTTTGCGCTGCTACAACTCCAGGCCCCCTCCCCCTTTTTTCTTTTTCTTTCTTTCTTTCTTTCTTTCTTTCTTTCTTTCTTTCTTTCTTCCTTTCTTTCTTTCTTTTTCTTTCTTGTACCCAGGGCTTTTGCGCTGCTACTACTCCAGGCCCCCTCCCCCTTTTTTCTTTTTCTTTCTTTACTTCCTTCTTTTTTTCTTTCTTTTTTTTTTTTTTAAGAAACAAGTTCTCACTAAATTACCCAGGCTGGTCTCAAACTTGCGATCCTCTTGCCTAGGCCGTCTAAAGTGCTAGGGTACTGGCGTGCACCAGCACGCTTGTATCCCTGTCCGTAACGATACCTGTGCATACACTCAATCCAGGGTCCCTTAAATCTGACGGGTACCTTTTAGTCCACAAGAGGGCTTTCAAACCCGATGTTCTGTTCCTGTCCAACCTATCCTAGCCCCACCTTCCGTTCAAAGCTCCCAGGCCCCTAGCCTGAGCACCTGTTCCCATCGAGGCCTCAGATTCTCCCTCCACATCCAGCTGCGGGAAATGCGTATTTTTGTAGGAGCGAGGGGGACCAGGGGGGAGGCAGCTACCTGACCCTTTTTCCCCTTTCAGGATCGCAGCCATGTTCCTGGTTAACTCGTTCTTGAAGGGCGGCGGCG